TTGACATGCTGAAATAAAAATAACTGCTGTTTTTAAATATTTCTTAAATGATAAAGATGTGACCAAACAAATAAAAGTCCTTCACTCTGTAATGAACGAGACCCAAGTTCAACAGGCCTTTATTATGAAATATTTACTATGAGAGCTGATTCAATAATGCAGTAATTTCCAGCCTTTTTTTTTTTGGCTGAGAAGATTAGCCCTGAGCTAATATCTGCTGCCAGTACTCCTTGCTTTTTTCTTGAGGGAGATTAGCCCTGAGCTAACATCTGTGCCAGTCTTCCTCTACTTTACATGTGGGTTGCTGCCACAGCGTGGCTGACAAGTGGTGTTGGTCCGAACCCATGAACCTGGGCCACCGAAGCAGAACGCACGAGACTTAACTGCTATGCCACAGGGCTGGCCCCCAATTTCCAGCCTGTTAAAGTGGACACCCTCTTGGGTTTGTGAACTTTGCAACTTTTTCTTCCTGTCCTCAAAGTGCCATGTGCCATTTTAAAACATATTAAAGTTAATTCAAATTAAATTTTGATTTGAGAATTTTATAACCCTGCCTGAAATTCCCAGGGTGAAAAGCCAGGCTGGTAATCACTGCCTTAATGACTTGCTTCATACTCTTTCACCTGTGACTGTAGAAAAAGTGAGTTACCCCGGAGTGCTGAGCTTGTGTGGATCCAAAAGGCTAGTTGCTAATTATTAAACTATTACTCAAAGCCTTAAGTAGAATAATAGATGATTATCTGTCTCCACTAACCAGTTCATCTCCAGTAGCCAGTAAGTCACAGGAAAAGCCTAAGGAATTCATAGGAAGAACAGCGCTGCTTTACTGGCCTTTTAATCCTGCCGTGGGCCCCACGAAGCAGAGAGCTGGCTAAGCGCTGCCGTCTGATTTGCGGTTCCTCCTATGGCCGGGGTGGGGGCTGCTGGTGGGGCTGGGACCATTCCTTATGCAGTATCCCTTGCAGCCAATCTGGAATTAGCAGTGAATCCCGGAAAAGGGAACCACGTCTATAGTTCCTGGGTGCTTGTGTGCTGATGAGATTATCATTTTGTCCTTACAACCCAACGTGGTATATGTCACTGCCCCTATTTTAAATATGAGGATTCTAGAGCTAACAGAGCTTACATTATGGGACCAAAGTCACAAAGCCAGGATTCAAGCTCAAACCCGTCTGATGCCAACGCCCAGGTCCACCCAGCACCTTCCTGCACCCTAGAAGGCGGGGAGGCCTCCCTGCTCCTGTTGTGGTAGAACAAGCCAGAAAGCAGCCCTGGCCTGAATCTTGACCTCACGGGCCTCATATATATATGTGTGTGCTAGTCCATTAGGATTGCTAGACATTCCCAGATACCTAGAAATCCAGCACCTGCAAACTCCTGATGCTTTGTTAGCTGTAAGGCCAGACCCCTTATGCTCTGGAGGTGACTTGGATGGTTTGGCAGCCCTGCAGAGAAAACTCGGAGGTTGGCAAGGACTCTGAGGACCAGTGCCCGGGAATCAGGAAGGGCATCCCGAGGCAACGGCGTTGCAGAGCGGCTATGGTGGCCATTAGCCACAGGCGGCTCTGAAGTACTTGCAATGTGGCCAGTGCATCTGAGGAATTAGATTTCTTGTCTTTAAGTAGCCACATGTGGCTCCTGGCTGCCGTACTGGACAGTGCAGGTGCAGAGGAAGAGCTCACCTTTGGGAGATCTCTGGGCCTCAGTTTCCTCATCTTCAGTGTGAAGTACTGGACCCTAAAATTATGTTATTCTGTGAAGGTGAGGGCAGGCTCTGACAGCTGACTGTAGAGGAGTAAAGTGCTGACTGGCAGATCCTCTCTCAGAGGACAGATCTACGAGGGGTCAAATTGTAATAGATGGTTGCCTAGTGAACAAGTCTCATGTTTAAGGTTATCAGGCCAAAAAGTCTGATGCGAACACCCCCCCAGTGGGGCTGGCCTTGCTAGTGTGATGATACACAGTCTGCTGGCAAAGACCACCCCTTCCTTTATGCAGCCCTGCCAACCGTTTCCTGTGACTGCTGTTTTTATAATCTTTTGTTATTGACCAGCCACCACACCCCCTTTTAGTGGGCATATTCTTTATTCAGCTATGTTAAAATCTTCAGTCTTTCTTAGCCTAGGAGTCTAGTTGTCTTTTTAAGAAAACTTTGCATACTTTTGTTATGATCCTGAACGTGCTACCTTACCAGGTCACCAGAGATTTGGGATGAGTATATATTTACCAGGATAACTCTTGGAAATGCATTCAGTGGGATAGCTGCTCTCGTTTATTGTTTTAATAATTTAGGAGATCTGTTTGTTTTTCAGATGTGGTCCCTTTTCCAAAAAGGCAGTGATCAAAGGTAGAAAGAGGAAGACTCCTAGCATTATTGGAGACCGTCAGGTGCTCTATGAGGCGCTTTCCATGCCCCTTCACTTAAACCTCACAACACTCTGTTATTTCCATTTTACTGTTGGGGAAAGACCTGGAGAAGGTAAGAGAGGGTTGCTGGAGAACATATCTGGCTCAAGTGGTAGAATCAGGATTTGAGCCCCAGTGTGTCTGCTTCTAGGGCCCCCGCTCTTTCTGTTCCCTTTATTGCCATCTTAAAAAAAAGTTAGTCAAGGAAATGGCCCCATGGCTAAATCATTCCGGAGACATCTTCTGATGTGCAAATGCCAATTGTAGGTATTGTAGCGATGTATATCGTAGATCATGGTCCACGGCTGCACCGTGCAATGACAAAAATCAGGTTCTGCATCAATGAGGCCAAGAGTCACACCCACACAGTTAAGTCATCAGTGTCCTGCCACCCAGTGGGGTCTTTCAGAAGACAGCTGGCTCCCAGGGCCACCTGAAAATACTCGGTCTTACTGCAGGCTTCTTCAAAATTCCACATCCATTATATTATCCATGCATAGGCTCTTTCTTTCAGTTGGACAAAAAAAAAGCTGATTTAAAAAATTGTACTTCTCTAACTCTAGGGAATAATCACATAATAATATAAGATCCTTTTCTTGACATCATTTCAGGGGTCTTAATTCATCCACATGTTTATTGATGTAACCCATCATCTATTCCAAACCTCTTTAAAATCTAAAATCTCTTAAATTTCTACCTTAAAAAAAAGTCATAAATTCAAATATTGTTCTAAATGTCAGATGGACACTCCCCTATAATTCAGCCTTAAGTATTATTGGCAAACTATACAACTAATTCACAAAGCATTTTTTTGTGATATGTAAAATGTGTTTTAAAACCTTTTAAAAATAACATTTGAATGATACAATTGTTTAAGCATGGCCACCTACGCCTCATCTCACCCACACATTTTGGTGTCAAATAGTCCAACTTGCTAACAACAGTAAGCTTTTGTGAGGCACGTAGCGTGAGCAATACCACAACAAAAGGTTCCGTTATGCTCCATAATTGCACACCTATGGTGGTGTGAAGCACAAATCCAACTTTCAACCACCTGTGAAGTGCAGAGACATTTTACTGAAAGGTCATTTAAACCATTTTAAGGCCCTTACATAAATAAAGGGAGGAGGGAGACAGAGAGAGAGACAAGGAAAGGGAGGAAGGAAAAGAGAGAAAACACATCTCTTAGGGGAGTATTCTATATATTACTTGATGGGGATTAGAACTCTGATCAGTTCGATAATAAACCCCAAATCAAATGAACACAACAGAAATACACCAACTATATCACACGTAATACTTTTAATTATTTAGCTTCTCCTAGTACTCACATAATAGAAATTGACAAATCCATGACTTCCTCTAAAAATAAACATGAAAAACAATATCCCGGAAGAGTGTTGCTCTTCTCTTTGGCTGTTTTTATTGTGACGGCTGCACCTAGCTTGTTGGCCCACTAGGAGCTGCTTCCTCCCATCATCAGCACTGTGTCACCTGGCACAGGTGAGGCCCAGTGGCTGTCCTGGCTGGGAGGTCCCCTGGGACTCAGCAGGATGTTCGAGTGTTATCCACACACACACTCTGTAGTACACAGACTGCCTCTCAGAGGTGAGTGTGGTGAGCACGAGCACTGATGCATCTGATACATTTACAATATATCAACAATAAATATACCATTATAAAAAACAATCAGATAAACTAGGACAAAATGATGTTAGAGCTGTTTACACATATCTGAATGGAAGATACTTTCTTGGATTTTTTAAATCAAAGTCTGTGTGAAAGCACAGGTTGAATTTAGTGCATTTCACAAAAATAGCAAAGCTCCTAAGAGTAAAAGGTGTCTGGTAAAAACAGAGACCTGTGCAACACTGACACTCTGCTTCAAAGAGGAAATAGCATTTGAAAATCAATTTAGAAAGTTCCAAATGTGTAGCCATGCTCTTTTTCAGCAATTTAGAAAAACTCTACGAAATTTGGCTCAGGAAAGCGGTGCCCACATTATCTGTGTGTCCCTTCTCCATTACCCTTCTTCTAGTAAAAGGAGATTCCTCACTCTTGAAGCATCTATTCTTGATGATCCCACCAGCAAAAAAGCCTGAGTTTGATTCTTACAGATAATCAGTTTACCAACATTTTAGCCCTTAGATGGTTTTGCCACGTTCAGATCCTGTCTCAGACCTATGTTTTGGCCTCCCTTCCTCAGGTTAGTCCCTCATTTCACTGAAGTGTTCTCTGGAAGAAAGATCATAAATCTGTTCTGTATGAAATTGTTACAAATGTATATAACTAAACAATTTTTTAAAATGGACCAGTCAACTCAAAACGTCCCAAAAGGTTAAATGCCTTCAATTTCAATGTATAAAAATATATAAAAAATAATTCTAATTTGTAATCCTTATATATGTCTATAAAAGTCTTATCAAAACTTTAAAATATAATATTAGGAAATGTTTGTCTTTATCACAGTTACCAAATAGCTAGTTGGCCATTATTAAAAAATAAAAAATAAAAAGTCACCAATATTGTGAGACCCAAGGGTAGGGCGATGGCCCCTGGGCTCACCTTGAAGGTCTCCTTCTACCTGAGTCGTAGGAAACAGTGGGGCTGGAGTTCTGGTCCTAGTGCTGCCTCTGAATAGCGTCGTGGTCATGGACCAGTTATGTAACCTCTCCAAACCTCAATTCCTCCATCATTAGCGTTTTCCAAACGTGTCCCAAGGAATATTAATCTCATGAAAAAGGGTTCTGTGGTCAAATTAAGTCGGAAACTGCTGCACATAATTTCTCCTCTTTAGTAGATTCACAATGTGCACTGGCATTATTAAAGGCTCTGAGAAGTTCTGCAGTACATTTGTTTGACTTTGTATCGATCTTAGTTGACCTCAGAATCCCTTTTCTAACACTTACTAGTATCCTGTGGACTATATTTTGGAAAACACTGGTCCAGCATAGCTCGGGTCTCTTCCAGCACTTACATTGATAATATGGAGGAAAAGCAATGCAGTCTTTTGACATAGGTTCTGGGGATTAAGAGAAGATTTAATGCCCTGGTGTTGACAAGGCACCTATTCATGCTAACTGGCCCCCTGAAGAACAATGTGATTCCCTTTTTCCTAATGAAAGTCTTCATTCAAGGAAAGTGGTAAGGACTCTCACAGAATCTTGGCAGCCACCTACAGTCCAATAAGTAGCAGAACTGGCCAAGAATGATAAGTTATCTTCAGTATAGTTTAGTTTTCCTTTCCAGAACGACTTGATTTTTCTCCACAGCAAATGCCTTTGCCACTGTTCCCTAGAACAGTTCTGCCCAACTTCCACAGGACCCCTGCCCTTTACCCACTTCCTTGCCCAGAATGAAGTCAATGCGCAGAGAGACTGTCAGTCCTCAAGGTAAAGAGCTGCTCTTCCAAGAAGGCACCCCCAAGGCCGTACTGTTCGTCGTGAAGACGCATCTCTTCTGGCGACAAGTGGCTTCCTCCAAGAACAAAGGCTGCAAACCTAATAAGTTTTTTTTGTTTTAAATAAAGTTAATGTTATCACAGAAAGGTTTATTTGGAAGATAACATGTTCCCCTGCTACTTATCCCCTTTAATTAAACTCGACTTTGCGTCAACAGAGGATGGTATTTACACACTGGGTGTAAAAATGGGACAGGCTTATGTGATCCTTCCAGAAATATTCAGAGAAACGGCAGAGAAGTAGGCGCACTCACAAGCACTGAGGGCTGCCAAACGCACCTACTCCTGTTTTCTATTTCCTTCTCTTCTCTCTCTTATTAGTTTAGATTTATTACGTATTCATTATTTTGGTGTCAATACTTTCCCCCTTCAATCTTTAGTTTGAAGGCACTGGTCTTTGGATAAAGCTATAAAGAAGGGAAGGATGTTGGGGCTGAGATGTCTAAGTAAACTTTGAAAGTTATTTTCCACACTAGTAGCATGAGTAGCAGGCGACACATCCCATTCCACCTCTCTCCTTCCCATATGGAAGTTATCTTTATGGCCCTCCCTATAAAACACAGCAGATCAATATTTACTCTGTGCAAGTCAGAGCACTCAAGAAGAAGAAGAACCCGTGGCGGCTTCCACACCATCTGTTACCTGGGGAAGTAGTCTGTTTCTAGTCTGAAGTATCCGCACCAGACCATCATATTATTTCCACAGTAACTCTAACCCAGGTGGTGGCCCAAGCCGCTGAGCAGGGCTTACCTTTTAGGAGCCTGGAGTCTGGAGACGGCCAGCCACGACGGGAAGTCAGGCCTGCGGCAGGCTCCGCGCAACTCCTCCAGAGCGCGGGCTGTTGCGGCATCGGCTTGTTCCCTGTATTCGTCTTCAGTCAGATACTTAACCACCAGCTTTTCTGATGTAAACCGTTTCTTCATTTTCCTAAAACATGCGGCATTTGGTTGCTAGATTCCTGGTCATGTTTGATTGGTCAAGTCAACCCTTAAGATTTATAAAAATACATTTCTTAGACAGTAACAGTAATGCTTCACTTGCTTTATATCATACTATACATTTTTACCACTGTTACTGTGACTGAGGTATACAGAACACACAGTTTGGGCCTGATGGGACATTTCCCCTCTTCCTGGACCATCCTAAATAATGTCCTAAGGCATCTGAGAATCAGCTTCTGATAGAGAGGTTAATTGTGTTTTTCCTCCCCGGTGATTTCTAACCGCACAGTCAGACAATGACAGGTCTGGCTTCCTTATGCGTGGCCTGCTGATTTTCCTGGGCACTAACAGAAGCCAGCCTCTGAGACGTCCTTTTATGGAGACCCAAGCATCTCTAGACGGAAAAGCACAGATTTGTGGGATGTCGCCTCCACCTAGTGGTGGGGATTCTGACTAATCCCAGAGAGAGGGAGAAAATATTGTACAAGGGTCGTGCATGTACAATAATTTCTAATGATTTTTCCTTTGCTACATACTGAGGGGCTCATGATTGGGCTTTTTTTTCCAACCAGGAAAGTCCTAAAGGGAAGAATCGCATAAAAATAGTAATGATGGTAAGGTTTTTTAAAACATTTATGATATATTTATCAATGAGTTTTTAAGAACATTTTTATGTGGTTTTAAATTTAATTTAACCAGAGATTCCCAGTCTGAATAAACATCAGAATTACCAGGAGGTTTTTTTAAACATATATTTTCTTGGGGTTTGGGACCTGAAAAATCTTTTCTCTTTTAACGACTGTCTGGTGGTTGATGAGCTGGATTAGGGAGCTACTGACAGCATCTCCTTTTTCTCTCCATACCCAGCCTGGTCTCCCTAGAGGAGAACCCCTGGCCTCTGAGCAGAAGACAGGGAACTGTCCTGCCTTTGAGGTTTACTCACTGTGGGGCGATTCCTGAATGGTTCCGAGCCTCACTTTGCTCATGTGAAAAAATGAAAGCAGTAACATCTACCTCATGAGGTCACTGTACGGATTAAATGAGATAGTGTGTGTAAAGTGCTTAGCACAGTGAGTGGCTGATAATAAGTGTGCAATAAGGATAACCAAGAGTAACTACCATATATTATTAAAATATGTTCAAACAGCTGTTTGCAAAAGTAGAACGTACTATACAAATCAAGGTATTATTTCTCTAGCTTATTATTTAACCTATATGTTCCTGTTTGATTCCCTAGTTCTTCATGTAGTTATTCACTAGCAAAATGAACAGTTGAGCAAGTTATAACACATTTTGATTATTATATTCATGTTAGCGGAATGCACAGCAAGTGCATGAAAGGACTATGGTGCAGGTGACAGAACACACTTTGCTCTTGGCAGGGCAGCTGGAAGTTTAAAGGGAAAGAGAAAGGAAGTCTATCCTGGGTTCCTCTGGCCACAAGCCTGGCACAGGACCAGGGGCCTGGCAGAGGGACCTCGGGGAATCCCAGTCACTGTCTGCCTCTGAGACGGGGCAGAGGGAAGCAGCCAGCATCAGTCCCTCTGACCTGGCCCTGCTCCCTTTCAGCCTTATCAATGCCCTCTGCACTGGGGCCCTGTCCTGTCACTGGTGCATTTTTAACCCTGTGACACTGCCACACATGCAGTCACCAGATCCATAAACTACCAGTTACCACAGAGTCTCCTTCCTCAGAGTCACGTTTACCTCATACATATTTATTAACTCTTCCAGTCTTGCTCTCACCGCCCTACCTCAGGCCCTCATCACCTCTTGCCCAGACCACTGTAATGTCTGATGACTGGTCTCCTGTCCCAGGGCCGCCTCCTCACATCCACCCTGCTCCGTGCCAGAAGACAGATGGACCATATCCCACCGCCCAATGAGGTTCATGGTCTCTGCTTTGATTTTTGCTTGTTGAATTTATTTTTATTTTCAGATTAGTTGTCAACATTTAAAAATAATAAGAATCCACATTCTAATCCACATTCCCAGCTTTGCTAGATCAGAAGATCTGGCAAGGCATGGCTCACATTCCTACCTGGCAGCAATCAGCTCAAGCTGAGTGGTAATTGCCCCCTTTTCAATGAGGCCCCATTGTAGAATTTCCCACAGTCCTCATGATTGCCCCACTGCCTTACCCCTGCTCGGCCTGACTCACTCAGTAAGCACCTGCCTGGGCCCCAGGCATTTGGATTTATAACAGCTGTCTAGGCAGCAGTTAGAGGGCGCTGACTAAAATGCACAATGGTTCCCTGCCTCAACTGTGTACATGATCAGACTAGACTCCTTAGCATGGCCCATGATGCCTCCATGACCTGGCCAATGCCCCCCCTCGTTCGCTGCCTCGTGATGGTACCAGACTGGGCTTTCTCCTTCTCAGAAAAGTCCTTCCCACATTTATTCATCTGGCTGTTTTGATTCATTAAGATTCAGCCCAGTAATATCTTCTCCAGGAACTTTCCTGAATTTTCTCTATATGCCACAGTCCCTGGGCAGGCCTATCTTAACACTTCAAAGACATAGAAATGTGTGCCTATGACTCAACAAGCACACTCGAGGGGAGGGACCATCTCCTTCATCTGTGCACCTGACACAAAAACAGGTGCTCGGACTCAGTGACTGAGGAAAGACATAATAAAGCTGTGACAAGAGAAGTTACCTCATCCTTCTTTCTCTATTTTCAAAGGGTTTAAGCCTTAACTTAAAACCTAAGAGAAAAGAAAATCCTAAATATAAATAATACCTTTCAATCACTTATGATTCATTTCTGTTCCCTCGCTCTTATCTCATAAGTACAACAAGTACCCCTAAGGCAGCCTTGGGCCCTGATAATGAAAGGAAATGTAAAATAAAAGTAGAAATTTCAGGCAACCCAGAGCCCAAGTAATTTTGGCAATGATTTTAGTGAATTCTGAGTGAGCTGTAATTGCCTAGGAACTGGTGGTAACCTCTGAAGGACTAATGAAGACTAGAAACAGAGATGGGGTCAGATGCTTAAGTTCTCTATCCTCTTCCTCCCTCAGAGGGAAATCTCTAGAGGAAATGTAGTTAATTATGAGATTAAACATGATGTGTCCAAAAAACCCCCCAAATGATAAATAAAACCAGACCTCAAAATGTCAAATTTACAAGGGAGAAAAAAAGATACGCACCACGTCATATAACCAAATGCTTTCAGTGGGTAGTACAGACTCCTGGAACACAGGATGAGGATCATGACTGCGTATGAGAACTGCGGCACGGTGACGCCACAATAGATGAGAAGCAGGGAGAGGAGCTGCAGTGTCCACGTCAGAAGATTTATGCTCCTCTCGTCAACAAGGGGCCCGTGCTTGTAACAAACGGCGAAACTGAGAAATCCAACCGCCAAGACATAGCCTGTAAAAGCAGAAGAATGCAAAACAATATAAATCTGAACTTGAAAAGTTATATGAAAATCCTAGCAGAGCCTTGTCTTAGAGCTAAGAACATATCAGAAAACCTTCATTTTTGTTTTCTTTTTCCAACTAAGTAAGGTTGAAAAACGTGTATAGGGGTAGTTATTCCTTCTGTGTGAGATACCGGGCTGACTTCTGTGATAATTAAGGATGTATAATAAAAAATTATTATGATGTATAAGTATGTCAGATTTTTAGTCCAGAGGCCTAGATGGGCAAATGTTATCATGGTTTCCTTGGTCAGGAATAAGCCTCAGTATATGTCACAGTCAGCTACAAGCCCTATTTTTTTTTTTTTTTTTTTTAAACTTCACTTCACTTCTTTTTTTTTTTTTTTAAGATTTTATTTATTTATTTTTCCCCCCAAAGCCCCAGTAGATAGTTGTGTGTCATAGCTGCACATCCTTCTAGTTGCTGTATGTGGGACGCGGCCTCAGCATGGCCGGAGAAGCAGCGCGCCGGTGGGAGCCCGGGATCCGAACCCGGGTCGCCAGCAGTGGAGCGCGCGCACTTAACCACCAAGCCACGGGGCCGGCCCTACAAGCCCTATTTTTTATTCTTACTTTCTAGTCTCAAAAGGAAAATGTAATTTTACATCAGAGGGATCAGGCTGACCCTCCTAATACAGTGCTCAGTTTCAGCATCACTGATGGAGGGACGATGAGATATTCTGTCTCTTGTTGTGATCCAGTGTGACGTGTGCATCTCCTCTTATGTGTTCCACCAAAAGTGTTTCATTTGTCTCTAAGCAAGCTTCAAGGTCTAATGTCCAGTTTAGGAAATACAGAGGAGAGAGAACAAGTTAATTTATACCACAAAGAAGTAATCAGAAAAATCCAGAAAGTGATAGGACAACTAGCTTGGACTCTTCAGCATATCACTGTGCTAAAAAAGGAATTGTTACAGATTAAAAGAGACTTACAGGATATAATAGATGCAAAATGTGGTTCTGGACCATATCCTAGCTTATGCAAACCAACTATCAAGGACATTTAGGAAATTTGAACATGGCCTGGGTAATAGATGATTTTATGAAATTACTAATTTTTTTAGATTTAATAGTTAACTATAGAGGAAAATGCTCTTGTTTTTTAGAAATGCTTAGGAAAGCATTTAAGGGAACATACCACGATATCTGTAATTTACTTTAAAATACTTTATTATTTTTTTTATTATTTTATTTTTTAAGAGGCAAAGCATTTATTTGGGATCAAAGAATTGCAATTCAGGAAGTACAGATTCAGGTAGAAACCCAAAGAATGTCCCACTAGGGAGTAAAAGTCAGGAGCTTTTATTTTATTTTATTTTATTTATTTATTTATTTTTAATCTTGTGTTTCCAGAATGTCTTTTTTTTTTTAATTTTTTGTTTATTGCAGTAACATTGGTTTATAACGCATAAATTTCAGGTGTACATCATTATACTTCTATTTCTGCATAGATTACATCATGTTCACCACCCAAATACTAATTACAACCCCTCACCACACACATGTGCCGAATTATCCCTTTCACCCTCCTCCCTCCCTACTTTAAAATACTTTAGTGCGTAAAAAGAAAAATGAGCTAAAAACAAAATCTACAAGTAAAACAAAAAATTGTTTTTGTTTTGGGTGGGTGGACTTATGTGAGAAATTTGGTGCTAAGGTTTAGGAGAAAATTGATTCTCCCATTCTCCATTATTTTCCAATTAAAACAAGTTGTTTTTGGTTTTTGGCAACACGAAACAAGGGGAACAAGTAGTTTCTTAATATCCTGCTTCTGAAAAGTCAAGTTTTCATTAGTCATTTATATTTTGGATTTCTCACTTTTCATACTGAATACATTAAGAAAAAGAAATAAAGAGCCACATTTTAGAGAAAGTTTTTCATTACAGGTTAGATGTGGTGAGAGCTTAACCACAATTCAAAAGCATATGCAATCAAAAAAGACAAATACTTTTTTGCTCTTTTGATCATTAGTATAGAAAACTAAGAAAGATGTCATAGGGAAATAGTCTAAAATGAGACCTAATGAACTGAAATCACCAACTATCAGAATAAAATAAAATATTACTTTTAACAGCATTTCTCCTTAGTTCAAAAGGAAAATTTAGATGCTGGAAAGAAACGTATGTCAAAAGAAGGCCTTCAGTTGTACTTTCCAGTTTTACCAATAATAGAATGTATTCTTTAAAAATTTACCTACCTAATATATATGTTCTCTTTTCATACCACAGCCACTTCAGATCTTCCATCAGTTGGCACAAAACATAAACTGAAGCAAACCAACAACCAACCATTAGAGCCCAAAAGGTGCTATACTGTGTGTGGAAGAAAATAAACGACACGGTTTTTGGTTCATTCACTCTCATAGAAATAGAAGTAAACAAATAAGCCCTTTGTATGAGAAACTTCTACATCAAACTGCACTGAAGCCAACTGGAGGAACTCTGGAGTCTTGTGAAAGGTATGGTCTATGAACCAGCAGCAGCGGCATCACCTGGGAGCTTGCTGGGATGCAGACTCTCAGGCCCCACTGCAGACTTCTGAATCAAAATCTGCATTTCAACAGGATCCCCAGGTAACTTGCGTGAATATTAAAGCTGCAGAAGCACTGTTCTCGAGAATAAATTTATCTCAAAGAAATGCTGGTGCTGCAAGCTTTAATCAGAATAACCACAACATTGTCATCATGAACTAATATTTATTTATTCCCAACTAAGTGCAGGGCATTCTTTTATCGAAGGTGTTCTGGGGAACTAATAATAATGAAGAAATCTCCAGATGTAGCAATGCTGTGATTCAAGGCCCTGATGGTTCAGCACCATGACATTCCTCAGCTCTGCCAAGATAAGAGAAATTTCCACTCAGCATAGAATCAGCCCCTGTCACTCATAAGAAAAACATATTACCTAGAATTAATAAAAAGGTCTCAGAAAAAGTATCACCTAAAATTAACTTTTAGTTAAGCTTGTGTATAGTAACAAATAAAAATGGAATCTCTAGAAAAAGATACATTTTAAAGCCAGTTTATACAATGTAGAAATATAGTTTGAATTAGGAACTGTCATAATCAATATGAATTAATTTTGATCAATTTTTCATGTCTACGAGATCATGGTTTCCATTTTTTATTCATTTGTACACAGTATGCCTACCTTAGGAATGAACCTTTTCACCAACAGGAGGACAAAGACTAATGTCATTAGAACACCTAGCACGGTCCCAGAAGAGTAATAGAAAATAGGGCTTCTGTCAAGACAAGCAGATAAAAGCCATTTAAATGCCAAGTCACACTTTCAGTATTAAAAACATGTTTAACTTGACAATAGTAGCCATTAAGAATACTAAGAAGAAAAACTCAGTGGGTCTAATTATATCCGATACTGTTAAAAATGAAGTCTGTACTTGAAATTTACGGTAAATAGCTTGCCACTAATTCAAAACAAAATGTCTGAGTTACATTCTATGTTGGGAATCTGATCCAACAATAATTATTGAGCACTATCACACAGCAGGCACTTGTCTGACAGCTTTACCTGCATTCACAACAGCCCTGTGAAACAGCTATCCATGTCTAAATTCTACAGGGGAGGAAACTAAGGCACCAAGAAGTTAAAGACTTCCCCCAAGTCTGTATCTGCTAACTGGAGGATTCAGGCTTGCAGCCCAGCTCCTAAGTCCAGGCTTTACTCTGCAGGCTATGAAAGCAACGTCCAGTTTACAAAGACCACGGATGCCATTAAAAACACTTGATTACACTACAAAGAAAATGAACGTTAAGAATAGCAAGCTAAGAAGTAAAATATTATTGGACAGAGATTCCTTTTTCATCAGAGAAGTTATAATACACAAAATATCAGGAAAATATGTTTATCTCAGGATCAGATATTTATTAAATTCAGCCTTCATCAGAACCACAAATCTGGAGGCAGCTTGAATGTAATAGAGAGAGCAGGCATCTGGCATCAGAAAACCTGAGTATAAATCTCAGCCCTGGCAAGAACGTCATGTGATAATGGATATTGGTTTTCTCATCTATAAAATGAGAACAATAATACAGAGCTCACGTAGTTCTTAAGAGGATCAAATAAAATAATGTATACTGTATTAATATGTAATACAAAATAATGCCTGTGAAAGCACTCTGTGACATATACACATCATGCTATACAAATAACTGTTACTGGTTTTAAAAAAAGCCCTTTCAAGCACTATCTTCAGACCTATTGTTTGCAAAACCTAAAGCAAGAACTACAAACTAGTGTGGAAATATTTAGCATAGGGTCAAAAACATCCTTTACTCTTTTTCATTAATAGTTAAGAAAGTAAAAATGAATACTTACCGACTCAAGGCCTTTGCATAAAAGAAGAGGAAAACGCCTGCCACAAACACAAGGAAGAGTTTGAAATCCACAACTGGAGTAAAAAAGACACACAAACAACAAAGATTTTATGTCAACGTAGTGTCAGTGAAAGAAGAGAAAAGTCCATTTATTGAAATGTCACTCCAGAAAAACTGAATCCAGAAAGTCAAGTATAATAAAAACAGACTTACTGTTTCGAGTCACACTGATTTTATAGATAAATGTCTTCCTGACAGGCTTCACAGAGAAGCACACGGTCTTCCCATATGGATTGATGATTATGGTTACTTCATTAGACTCCTTTGGTGTCCAAAAGTTATGAATCACACATTTGATAAAAGACAGAATGGTTTCTGGATACTGGCAATTATGTCTTTCTGTGATATATACCATACTGAGCAGGCCTGAACTGGTAATTTTCACCTACAAAACAAGAACAAAAAAGTCCGTAAACACACAAGTTAAAACTTCTTATAAGCTTCTTAAAATCATGCGCAGAAGAGTCAAGAGAGTCCAAGATGGGCTGAGAAAAGCACACTGAGATGTACGTGGTAAGGTTCTGATCCCAGGAGTGGACCTACAGATGTGTGTTTAGTCCAAACACACATTGAAGCATACACACTTTTGAAGCAGATGTTTCTTCCCCTGAGTTGTGGTTAACCCCCTCTTCTGGCAAGTTATTGTGGCCAAGGGACATGTAAAAAAGAATGAGATAGAAGGTAATAGGTGGCAAACTATTTGGTTATAAACATAATGAGAACAAGGTTTATATCTCCACCATTTTCTACTGTGATTGAGAAAAAGTGCTTCCTTCTTCTGGATCAGCAGAGCGTAGGTAATTCGGGCTTCTCTCACCATGCCTCTTGAAGGATGACCAGAACCCAGCCTCAGGTCCTATTCAAGTCTCACAACAAAGCGCTAGCTACAATGCCAAGCAGATGGTGACAACCCAGTGATCATTAAATGATAACTCTCTGCTGCCTTTGTCCCTCTCTGTTTCTCTTCTTTGTCCAAGAGTAGGGCGAGCCTGAAAGGGGAGTGAGAGCACCACCTTTGAATCCCAGGCATCAGGCAGTATCACCCACTATCTGTTGATCTGTCTACCTACCCCTCATCTCTCTTGGACTTGAGCTCCTGGCTCACTGTTGCTCTCTCAATACCTCTTCCTGTCATCCTTCTCAGGGATTCAATACACACACCAAACTCCTTCCAGTACCTTGGCCTCTCAGTTCCTTGATCTCTTCCCTCTTATGCCCTTGTCCTCTACCCACTTTCAGGCAATCCCTCCCACAGCCTCACCCTGGACCCTGTCAGTACCAAACTGCAGCCCCTCTACAGGCTGCGTTTCCTGTGTCCCACTGGCTGAGCACCACCTCCCACCTTTCCAGCGTGCCCTTTCTGGCACCCTGATCCCAGCAAGCCTTTGCCCCCACCATGGATCAAGCATCTTTCCCATGCTCCTCACCCTCTTGATGTCCTCAGCCCCTTCTCATCCAGCTAAATTCCATGGTCAATCATTATAAATCATTCTCTTGCATGTACCCTTGAGGGCTTGAGACCCCTCTTGCTTTGTCATGCCCAGCTGCAAAATCCAACCCTCCACCTCTTCCAATCTTGCATTTGCACCACTGAATGTGCTGGAGAAGCCCACAGCGGTCTGACTTCAAACTCCTGACTGGGCACCTGAAGTGGGACCTGAAGCTGCAGGCAATCATACCACACATTGCCATCTAGTCTCTCTTCAACAGTGATTTCACAACTTCTCCTTCCTCGGCAGCCCAACACGTCCTCCCCTCCTCACTCCTGGCTGATGATCTTCCTACTTCACTGAAAACGGAAGAAATCGGAAGAGACTGTCGACCAGCTCCTCTCCCCATATTCACCCACCTGTCAGCATCTGTCGGCATGTGCTCTCCTTCCTGCCTGTGGGGGGGAACTTTCTGCCACAGATGAGCCTGACACGCTCCGTTCTAAAAGCAAGCCCCTGATGGTGCCCTGGATCTCATCCACCTGCGCCTACTCAAGGACACCCCACCAGTACTTCTTCCCTCTCTCCTACACCATTCCTATCAGCATCCAAACATGTGGATATTTCTCCCACTTGAAAAAACCAAAAAGCTTTCTATTAACTCCACCTTCCCATCCAGCTATCACCCTATTTCCTCGCTTCCCATTGTAATAAAATTATTCTTAAAAGTTGCCGATACCTGCCATCTCCAGTTCCCCTCCTCCCATTCTCTCTCTAACCCACTTCAATCAGGCTTCCATTCCCAACAGGCTGCCTCTGACCAGGTCTCCAGGGGCCTCCATGTTGCTAATCCAAAGAGCAAATTCATTCTCAGTCATCCTACTGGATCCGGCAACAGCATTTGGCACTGCAGATCACTGCTCCTCCTCGTTACATTTTCTTCCTGGGGCTTCCTGGATGTCTCCTTCCTCACTTGCTACTCCTCTCTCTCTCCTGTGCCTGTCCCTTCCTCCTCCCTGACCTCTGACCATAAGACTGACCCAGGCTCAGTCGTTGGGGCTGTGGAGGAAGAGGGAGAATCCCCCTCTGCCCTTTCCCTTAAGGTTCTTATGGCTGGCCAAATAATTAACAAGACAGGTTAGCAGGAGAAAATAATACCAAGTTTAATAACATGTATACATGGGAGAAACCAGGGACACTGAGTTTCTCAACACAATAGCAAAGATTCTCGTCTTAAATACCATCTTCAGCTACAGACAAAGGAGGATGTTAGGGGTGGGTGGTGTTTTGGGATTTCAGAGGGGAAGAAGACAATTTACATGGAGAGGGAAATGTAAATGTTTGTCAGAAAATGCTTTGCAGGGCCACCTCTAGAGAATGTGGCCAGAGAGACAGGAATTATAGTAATCAAGAGTATGTAGATTTAAGTCGTCTTCTTCCGTCCTGATAAGAGTTTTCACAGATAAGGTCATCCCCTCCCTCTTCCCACTACACAGAGGGAGATACCTTTATAAATGTAAATATTTGGTAAACAGAACTTTGTTAAGAATGGGCTTAGCGAGGACCCTGCCAGTCTGTCTATACCCAAAGTTAAATCCTTTTAGGCAGTTTGGGGGAGGTCAAATGTCCATCAGAGAAAATAATCAAGGTAAAGGGACATATTTCAGGGTGGCCAAATCTTGATCTCCTACAGGCCTCATCTAAACTCAGTCCTTAGTCCCAAGGCTTTAAGCACTCTCTATAAATATGCATCATTGTTTACTTTTGCAAAAAGAAACACAGGAAAGATATACCAGAAACGAATAAGACTGACTACCTACAAAGGCTGGCGAGGAATGAGTAGACGAATGAGGGGGAGTGACACTTCTTTGAGAATACTTTTGTGTAGAGTTTTGACTTTTCAGCCACATTAATATGTACATACTAAAAAGTGATGAATAAAATCAACCAGGATGGGGGAAAGCCCTGAAGTGGAAATGAATAAAAACAAATATATTTCAAATGAACAATATAACCATAGTGGGGGGTGGGGGGTGGGAATGACTTAACCCAAGTAACTTTGAGCACACTATTTAGACTATATACTCTCAAACTAAAGATAAAACACACTGTAAACATATACTGAACTCCTGTTACTAGGTTTATTTTTCACAATAGTATGGCTTAGCAATTCTGAAATTACTTTCAGTGTATTCTAGGATTAGGCAAATAAACCAATATATTGAGGATAATGAGAACCAGGTTTCTCACTATCAGAGAAGGAAGTTACAAACATGGAAACAAGGGAGATTAGAATGAACTCATTCGTACTGGAGATACCAGAATTCATGGTTTTCAAAAGATAGATAGATGGATAGAAATACATATGTGTGCAGGTATATACGTGTGTATATACACATATGACAATGATATCTCAATAGTAATAAACACAACTAGCACTGAAGGTTCCTTAGAAAAATGCATCATTCCAAAGCTGGGTCTAAGAAATTACAAGACAAGCTTGGAACATCTTGTTTGCCAGAAGGTAAAGAAGTGCTCAAGGGCCGGCACCACGGCTTAGTGGTTAAGTGCGCACGCTCCGTTACTGGCAGCCCGGGTTTGGATCCCGGGCGCTCACCGACGCACTGCTTCCCCAGCCACGCTGAGGCCGCGTCCCACATACAGCAACTAGAAGGATGTGCAACTATGACATACAACTATCTACTGGGGCTTTGGGGGAAAAAAAGGAGGAGGATTGGCAATAGATGTTAGCTCAGAGCTGGTCTTCCTCAGCAAAAAGAGGAGGATTAGCATGGACGTTAGCTCAGGGCTGATCTTCCTCACACACACAAAAAAAGAAGTGCTCAAATGATAGGTGCAAGTTAAAAGGATGTAGGAGCTAGTTTGAAGAGGCTCCTACTGGCCAAATCTAGGACAATTTGAATATCAAAATAAATAATGAGGTAATGGAGGGCCGGCCCCGTGGCTTAGCGGTTAAGTTCACGAGCTCCGCTACTGGCGGGCCGGGTTTGGATCCCAGGCGCGCACCAACGCACCACTTCTCCGGCCATGCTGAGGCCAAGTCCCACATACAGCAACTAGAAGGAGGTGCAGCTATGACATACAACTATCTACTGGGGCTTTGGGGGAATAAATAAATAAATAAAATTAAAAAAAAAAAAATAATGAGGTAATGGATTGTAGTCTACAGAATGAATTCACAATCCATGAGACTACGTGGATATAAATAAACTGGAGGAGGAAAATGTCTTCCTTATAGAAGAATGCCAATGAATGTAGAAGGAATAATGGAATTAGAAAACCACCATTTGATAAACATCATGATGATAATTGATTCAGACAAGCATTATCAATGGATGATAAAACTAGGGGCAAAAAGTTTGATGTGGAATAGGATATCTACATAGTTTCAATTATTTCCTCAAAATACTTATTTATTACAGACAGGAAAATAGTCATTTTACAGTGGTAAAACTTTGTAAATTGACAGATACCACTTTAACCAAGTGATCAAAGGGGTGTATGTTATCAGTAATGGTACAAATCAACACCATGCGCCTCCTGACACGCTGTCCTAGCTATTCCCCCAGCCCAAACACTCCTTCCCACATACTCTCTTGGTAACTCACTAACTTCACTGAAATCTTCTTCAAATGTCACCTTCTCAAATGAGAACTACCCTGACCACTCTTTTTAATACTGCAACTTGCCCCCCATCTCCCTCCTCTTATCTTACTCCACATTTTCTTTTTTCATAGCACTTACTAGTTTTATAATTTTCTTCTCTTACATTTATTGCTTATCCCACCCTACCGCCCACCCCTGGGAGTATAAACATCACAGGCAAAGGGATCTGTTTTGTTCACTGATGTATCCTAAGAGCCTAGAATAGTTCTTGGCACTTAGTAGGTGATCAATAAATATTTGTTAAATGTTGAATGAAGGAAAATACTAGGCTATTGAGAGTAACTACTGTCTTGCCCATACCTGGGATCAGAGGTAACTTCAGAATTTCTATATAGAGGGGCTTGGGATAGCAATTATTTTGGGAAGCAGGCGAGAGGGTATTGTCTTGAGCTGTGTCTAAGCAGCAAGCACACTGCACTCACTTACATACTATATTTATTTGGAGTGGTTTGGAGAAGCACTGATTAAGAGTATGGACAGTTAATGTGCCCTCCCACACACTCCTCCCCTTGAGCCACTGTGTGTGATCCTCGAGTCAGCTTTCATACACAGCTCTACGTCACACAAAGGTACTTTCTACTCTTGAAATAGCACATTTGAATTCTCTGTTCCTAAGACATGATTTAGAAATAGGCTCTTACCTGCACAGTTGACCATATGTACTTCCATTCCATTTGGGAATTTTGATTGTAGCAGTAACAGTCTGACTCAGAAGTTTTAATTAAATCCATTTCCTTCAGAGCTTTACACCTTGGAGCTGAGAGATGGAAAAGGGAATATATGTCCTAAATATTTAATTGCCCAGAATCTTATCTTTTTTTCTTTTTTATTCACAGGGATAATGGTAGCCATTTTTATATTCTCTGACCCATAAATTCTCTTGCAAGCTAATTATAGTCCTTCAGTCTTTCCAACCAGCAGGAGAAAGACAAAAAATCACAGTCTAGTAGTGTCAATCGTCTGATGACATTTGGAGGGCACTATAAGAGCAGAAGGAACAGGCACTTCAATCTTGAAGAGAGGGCGAGAATTGAGGGCAGCTTCTGGAGAAGAGGAAACATGAGCGAAGCACTGAAGGATAAGTCGGAGGCAACGACACAGAAGTTGGGGTGTGGGGGTGGCAAGTGTGTGCAAAATCATGGAGATTAGGAAGACCGTGGAAGTGGTTCAGCCATTCGCGAGGACTTTCAACACCTGCGGCCAGAGAGGTGAGCAGGGGTCACTATTACACTAAAGAGCGTGGACCTCATGCTGAAAGCAGAGCACTGAGGGATTTTAGGTGAGTATCAAAGTCTCAGCAGGAAACTGCGGACACTCACAACGGTTTCACTGAAGTGTTCAGTGAGGATGCGGGCTGGGTTAAGGCATTACCAGTAAGACACTGTGAAGTCACCAGGCACCTACCACAGCAGGAAGCCTTTAACACCCCTAGGCCTGAAACAGCAAAGGCTACCCGGTGTTACTGGAGCCCCGAGGACACCAGGAATCACTACTAGAACTTCAGTGGAATGTTGGGGTGAGGGTATGGGTACCTCAACCTCTCTCCTGCCTTCCCGTCAGTGCCTCTCATTGGCCAAACCCAATGGGAAGCCAGGGGGCAAAGAAGCCCAGGAGATACAGTCCACAGACATCAGCTTCTAGGCCCTGAGCAGGGGAAGGAAGGGCAGAGAATGGATCTGTGGGAACAAAACAGAATAACCAGTTCAATAAGGAAGTGACAGGAACACAGTCGTGTTTTAGAAAGAGCTTTCTATGAGCAATTGAGCAATGTGAAATTTTAGAGAAGACTGCAAGCAGGAGAACCACAAAGGAGGCTGCTGAAGCAACCTAAGCGAGAAATGGACCGACAGGTTAAAGAGCACTTAGGAGTGGAATCAACATTAGATGAGGGAAAGCAAGAACATGACAGGAATTTTCCGGTGAGTGGAGAGATGCTGAGGCCCTTATCACCCAGATAAGGAAAACAGGAGCAGAAACAAGCTTGTGCAGGGAGAGGGGGGATGGGTTTGATTTGGGGCACAGGGAGCTTTGGTTGGTGGGACCAAGTGAAGATGGACAGGTCTGCAGCACAGGAGAAATTTGGCTGGAGACAGAGGTAGATACATACATGAGTGTATAAATATATGTGTGTGCTATATGTAATATATAAATAATATATAATATATAATTAATATATCATACAACACAATACAATATAATATACAGAGAGAAAGAGAGACAAGTGCTGTATTATGGAGGGCAAATGTGGTAAATGCCACAAGAAAATTATAAAGTAATGGGGTTCATTTTATTCTGCGACTGCCACTATATTTGAACTTAAAATGAAGTGAGAAGAAACTCATAATTCTTCTGGATTCAGGATGGGATGTCACCACCACATCTGTCAATAGGAAACAGGAACAAGGAACACTTATGGGCACACAGAGACATGGGCCTTATGCCCTGCCCCCGACTCCTCTAAGGAAAGTGTGGTCAGCCGTTTTCCAGAAAAACCTGAAATGAAGCTAGAACAACCTGCTACACTAAAGTTGGGGAAGGATTGGGTAACTAGTAATAACTAGTCAATGATCACATCCATTTAGAGAATAATACTGAATAAGCCTAGATAGGTCTTTGTCCTGGCTAGAGACATCCTTAGTGTTAAGCTGGAGAAAAGCAAAGATAGACTTGGGTAAATGCCCACCACCTCCTGAAACACAACTACCTAACAGTCAGGACTCTCAGACAGCTACGCAAAGCAGGAAAGTTACATGATGATCCAGTATCTTCCATTGTGACACTGTCAAATCATTTAATCTTTACTCTTAACACTGTGAGGAAATGCTCATGTTTTAAATATACCAACAAACTTGCAGAGTTTGAGAGTCTGAGATGCAAATACAAGAAACAGGTAAAGAGGCAGGTCTCAAAAAGGCATGAGAAGGAAGGTTTAGAGGCCCTCTGTTAAATACAGGATACTAAAAACCAAAAACGCATTCCTGCAGGGTCTGTTTATACACCAGAACCAAAAGGGGAAGAACACAGAACCAGTGCTGTGAACACACAAAGCAACCAATGCTGAGGTGTGTTCTTCACTCTATCTGAGATGCAGATGACTCCTGGCTGAGGGCTGTGCAAGGTAGAGGAGGCTTCCAGGACATTAAGGGCTGGCAGTTAACCGTAGAAAAGATGATGCCAAAGGAGGCAGTGTAGAAGCAGGAAGAGGCTGAGCAATTGCGATGAGAATACACCGAAACGCATAAAAAGCTTGAAGCTAGTTAGCAGCAGAGGTGGGATTAGAAGGACGGCTCTGGACTTGCCTTCCAGAATCCCATGCTCTGTCTCTGCATAGCCTCCTGTGGGCTTTCTGAGCACGAACAGGGCTGAACTGGGCAGCTAGGGCTGAGAAGCTTATACTGGCGTTCCTCAATAAAAGAGGTGGGGCAGGTGAAGAGCGTGAGGTCTGCCGTCCACAGACCCCAGCAGCCCCAGACCATCATAGGAACGTTAGCTTCCAGCCAGTTGTTTCTTCAGGGTTACTCCTCCTAATACCACATACGTGCCCACTCCTAGGGCCTTTTCTTGTGGGCATCTCCAGGGCTCCTCCCTGCATCCCCTCCCCAGGTGGGCTCCACTACTTCAAGGGCTGAATCGATTTGCATAAGAACAATGAATGACCCTCTGGTCAGTGGTCTGAGGGACTATCCTCTTTGTGGGCCCTGAGCTTTGCAAACAAATGCTACCTTCAAATGAGGATTTTTCCATTTGGTTCTAAAACTGTCTCGTAAATCATTTGATATTTGTAACTCTTAAGATAAGAGCAAGATGATGCAATTTAAGTATAATGCAATAGTGTGAATTTAGGAATAAATGCTTCTCTGTTGTCCAAGCCAGTCTTCTTGCACTTGGATTACTTTAGTAGCCTTCTAGCTGGTCTCCCTGCTTCCAGAATGGCCCCTACGATTCTCCCCCACAACCTATTCTCCAATCAGCACATAGATCTTTTAAAAACATCAACCAGAGCACATCATTCACCTGCTCAAAACCCTCCAATGATTTCACATCACACCAATAGTAAAATCCACCCTCCCTTCCAAGGGCCCGGGTGCCTCTGACTTCTCCTCCACTCTCCCTCCTGCTTGGCTGCTCCAGCCACACCAACCCTCCTGACCTCAAGATGCCTCAAGTTTTCCTATTTGCTCTTTCCTCAACCTGCAGCCCGCTTGCCCCAGATTTTGGCAGAGCTTGCTGCTTCTGATAATTTGTGTGTGCTCAAACGTCACCTCCTCAGGAAGGCCTTCTCTGACCCCGTTGTCTAAGGTGCTACACTCCAACCCCTTTCACCTGCTGTCTTCTTACTCTGCTTTATTCTTTCTTCATATTACGTATGTATTCATTCGTTCATACTCTGTCTCTCCACGAAGTTAGAGACACTGCATGTTCATTACTGTATCCCCAGCATTTAAACATTTGTCTTTTGTTTGAGTGTGTTGTAATTGGAGAGGATCAGTGGGTTATTCCACCACGTGTAGCTGAGCCAGTGAAAGCCTGGCCAGCCTTTGTAATAGCCTGGCCAGTGCCAGCCAGTGCCATAAAAGGTGGTGCACCCTGGCCCTCCCCTTGAAGCAATGTGATGTAACAGGACACCCTGTCTCGCCTGTGCCATTGCCATTCTACCTTCAGAACCCACAGGCTGTACCTCCCTTACCCTAGTCCGTCATCAGTGTACCTTTACCTAGAGGGTTGAGAGCTGTAACCTTTAATATCCCCTGGGCTAGGGACCTCCAGATAAAGGAGGGCAGGGAGAAGCAAGAGGTGGCAATGAGCTTGTTTTTGTTTTACTGGTATGAGGTATATCAGTGTATTCTGTGTAAGGGACCATCCAGTTAGAAGAAAAGAACTTGCTCTGAATTTCACCTCAGTCTTCAAGCAGATTAAGGAAAGTACAGATGGAGGTAGGTTGCCCTGACTATTGATACCTATAGAAACACTACTAAAAGTAGGTTGCAGTATCTCCCCTGGAATTCTCCAGAGTGGCCTCTGGCTTTTGAGGTGAAGTTGATGTCGAATTTACACAATACGTGAGACCTTACAGACAAGGTGTTAGCGTTGCATAGTGTCCTCTGGCTGCCCTCATTGTTATCACCTGTCTCCTGAGGTGGATGCATTTCCATCAACCCACACAAGAATTCCTCAATATCTAAGAAACTAGAAACTCACAGCCACAAGAAGCCACAAGCCTAGCTCCAAGTGAGTTCACGTGAACCTTAAGCCACGGGCTAGTTGGACCAGGAGTAAGCGGGTGACTTGTAACAATCAAGATTGTTATCGCGGCTAGCCTACTGCCTTCCTAGAGAACCAGATCTTTAAATCTGAGATTGTTTATAAAGGTTATGTCTTTCCTAGGCCTCTCTTCCCTTCAGCAATCTTCTTCTAGACACATTTCATTGTTCAGTTCTACTTCCTCAACCTCCACCTGAAGGTGGGAAACAGAAAACGCAGCCGGCTTGACAGCTCGTCGGAACTCGATCGCCGGCTGAAGCCCTGACACTGAAGGCTGCGAGGCTGCCTGCACGTCTGCAGGTGTCATCTGCTCACTCAGCCTCAGTCTCCGCTGGTTCTTTCTGCTAGGATGGAACTTCCTGGTGGTAGTTGAAGGCAAACCCAAATATATCGCAACATCAACAAAATCCCCTTACAATGCAATCCAGAAAACAAAAGGGACTTTCTAGGGATTCAATAAGATGTAATAATAATCATTCATTTGATCAGAAGAGAACAATACCTGCCTCAGGAAAGCTACTGCTTCCACTTGAGGCTAAAACATGTCTCCACCCTAGAGGGTGCCCCATAACCTAGCTATTCACTTCCTGAAACCTGATTCAAATCAGGAGAAAGATCTGGAAGTGTGGGCTATTCCAGCTATGTCTGATCTCCCAAGCACTTAGGAGTACCTGCGGGACCAACCCTGAATGACATCCATACTATCGCTACCCCAGCAAGGCTGCGTCTCTAAGCCACGGAATGAGCATCGCCTTAACTCCCTGCAGTCCTCAGCAGGCTTTCTCGATCCCCTCAATAAACCTGACTTCTGGAGACCACTACATTTCTGGACAGTTGTGCCCAAACTGCTAAGATAAAGCACAATTATTTACCTTAACCAGTGAGATCCCTTACTTCATTTTAAATACCA